GTTCCCAGATGACATGCTCGTTGTCGATGTCGGGTTCGTATATGTCGCTGTACTGCATGTGGCCAAGTTTTACGCCCCTCTTCCCTATCTCCGGTTCATGGGTCGTATTCTGGATGTTTATCCAGGCCGTGTCTATCTGAGGTCGGATCTCGACTTTGGCTTCAATTGGCCGATAAGGCCGGTTTTTCCGCCGTAAAATATAGAAGTAAATGCGTCTCAAAGGGACCATTGGTTTGGCCGTCCGTACCTTGATAGAGCACGTTGAGTATGGTGGAAGAGAGACTCTTTCGCTGTTAAAGACCATTTGTCGGTCCAGCGGCTTAGCGTCAATGAATGGGTCCAGCGACAAATGGTAAACTTCTGGGTGTTTGTTGACCAGGTTTAACTCTTGGACTGGCTTGACTTTTGAAATCCGGACCTTCCGTGGGCGCGGTTGCTCCGACTTCTGTTCGTCAGCCAAGTTAACTGAGGTGGGTTGTTCCGTTGACAACTGCTGGACTACTATCGTTGGAGGTCGGAGATCGTCATCCTCCGGTTGGCCTCCTCCGAATTCCCTTTAAATTTTAAGTTGGTCAAGTTTCGCTTGTCGTTCAGGGTTGACTGCCTTTTTCTGTCCGGTCTGTTCCGGAGGAGGGTCGACCATGAGCTGTAGTTAGCCTGACGTCGTAGGTCGGTTCTTTGTCTTCCTCGGACGAGTCATCCAAGTCGTCGTTCCGCGGTTTATCCGACCTGCAGTGTCGAACTCACGGGTGGAATTTTTCGTCGTCATCCTCTTCGGATTCTTCCAAAGGTTCATTATCTGAGTCCGTATCCGGTGAATCACTCGAACTTTGTACGTCCAAACCATCCGAGTCGTAGTCCTCGTACTCTATTGCTGTTCCACTTTCAAGGTCGACCTCTGGTATGTTACCATCTCCGACTTTTGTGGTCGGTGGCACGTTACCGTTTACAAGCTCTGAGGTCGGTGCACCTTGGTCGGCCGTATCCGTCGGTTGGATCGGTCGACTCGCTTCTTCCTAACTCTCCAGGTCGGATGGCTGTGAGCTTAGGTTGCTCAGCCATTGGGTGGCTACTGGTTGAGTCTTCCGGCGTCGATTTACCTTCCGTTCTGGTTGCGGAGGGGCGGATGACGATGGTCTACCGTCGACCCAGTTCAGGTCATGGTGAGTCTTTAACGCCCGTATCACTCCGCCAATGTTGTCATTGCAGATGATGCACCGGCAAAGTCTATCGGTTTCTTCCAATTTTTCACTTTAAAAATTTAAAGTTACGTGTGCAAAAAGCTTCTTTCTTTACTGCTAGCCGTTATCGCTTCTTCCATTAACATGGCTAGCGAAATTTATCTTTGAGGTGCCTGCCGATATCAGATGCACCAAATTTACCGCAGCACTGGACAATTCCAGAATATTTCTGCATTCATGCAGGCTTTGATGACGTTTATTTCGCTACCCTGGAGACAATTCCAGCCGACATGCGGGACGCCATTGTGGCTACGGGATCCGGAGTCAAGTCCGGTCATGATCGCCTGCGGGCTTGGCTTGCTCGGCCCAAAGCCGTCGACCAGTTTCTGCAGGATGCACGTGACCGGTTCCCGGAACTGGCTGATCACCCTCCGTATTTGGAGTCTGATTGCCTCCGACCTGGAGCAGCCCATTGCTGACGGACAACCGAATGCTCCAGCAATGGAGGAATCTCCCCCTGTGGAGGCTGCACTGAATCCGCTGAAACAGCAGGATCTGCAGGGCCGCGTTATGCGGGTTGCCGAAGATGGCACATATCGCCGGCCAACCGCTGGATTATTCTCCGAACAGGCGATGTGCGACCTGCTGCACGAGATCCATTCCGTCAAATCTCCTAAACCCAGAGCAGTACGGCCAAACGTCGCACAATGGTACATCGGCCCTCAGACCTGGATGGAAAGCCAGATGAACGGTTACCCGTTTGCTTTGGATCATTCCCGTGTGAAGCGTCCGCGGGACGGCTCGTACCTGCCTCAACGCGCAGCGGACTTCACGATCCGGAACTGGGTAACAGCGCATACAGCGTTGATGGACGCCGATGTAGCGAAGCGCGCGACCGCCTACGAAGACTTCTGCACGCGGGCCATGCACGTCGCCCGGGGCTCTATTAACACCACGATTGCATTGCTTCGTTGAAGTTGCCCGCGCCGACATTCACCGAAGCAATGCTACATCGCCTTCAGCGAAGGAACTTCCCCGTCGGAAAAAATGATGCCACCACATGGAACACCAGGGATACCTTGGTGGCTGACTGGAGCATCCCACATGAAAAGCACTGGACGGTGCTGAACGACTGCGCCGATTGCCCTGTCGACATTCCGCAGTATGACTCCAGCAAGGAGAGCAAACACTGGGCGAGATGGGAAGGTTTGTAAACGGAAGAAGCGGAGAAACTAGCCGCTGAAGATGCGAAGAAATTAGCCGCCTCGTCTGCGAATACCGGTGAAGAAGCCAAGCAGTTAACTGCCTCGTCTTGGATTCCTCCGACTGGAGAAACTGCCAACGGCGGACGCATGGACACCGACGACGCGGATGACCGTGTCCGAAAAGGGGATTCCATTGACGAGTTTATGGAATCTAATAACTTCCAGGAGCGCCTTTTGCCGAACTGATGCGTTTCGTTGGCAGAAAGATCCGTGAAGTTACCGGGGAACCGCGATCTACCGCTTTTTTGAGACAGCGATTAAGCCTAGCTGTAGTCCGCGGAAATGCAGCAGCCGTTTTTGGTACATTGCCTGCACGTCCGAAGGCCATGAGTGGCACTAACGATTTGGATGTTTTTTTAACGTTTAAATTCGATCATTTTTATTAGTGTAAATCGGCGCAGGCATTTTGTTATGTATACTGGCTGTTGTCGAAACTTCCAGTGAGAAGCCTACGGTGTCGCGATCGTGCATTGTCTGGGTAGCCAGTAGTTTGTTGTTTTTTTGTTCACATTATGTACAATCGCCATCACATATGGAGGCGCTTTATGAATGGCGTGATCCATAGGTCCACAGGCCGGCTGTGCGCATCCACGCTTTCATACGCGACTGGCGACGCGTTGTTATTGTTTATGCGGCTAGCGATTTTTGGCTGCGCGACAGGTCGTCGCGTGATAATTGCTTTTACAAACATCGCGTCTAAGGGCAACTCGTTCTTGGGGCCAATATCCATATGGCTGTTCGGTGGCATAAACTAGTTTATAATTTTCGACTTCGCCAACGTCGCGCGCTCAAATGTCACACAACAAAACGGCAGCAAATCGAGTTGTCTCAAAACAAGTTAGCTTCTGCGACGAAATACCTGTGGCGAAATGTCCGACGACGAAATTTCTCGTGACCACTTGGGCTGTCTTTTTTGCCGAAATCGAAAGAAACGTATATTCGGCGGTGGACAATTTTCGTTATTTGTTGACTGGGGCAGACTTTTCTTTGAATGGGCTTTATGCCGCTGATCTGATACCAAATAGAAATTGTTGTCACACAACCCGTTTCCGAATATGCACTCATCGGGAGCCGTCCGCCCTCGACTAGCTTCATGTCCAGTATTCGGTCTCCGTGGTAAAAGAACCTTCCCAAGGACGTGCTTTTACGAATTCCAGCGATACAAGTCAAGGTCGGCTTACGGCAATCGACCAAATCCAGGAGAAAATGTGACTTTATTTGGCAGTGCATTTCGTACCCTTTACTGTCGCAAATTAGACCATAGTGTGGCAAAATAGCTAAAGGCTGTTTAAACGCAGCGTGCGGCAAAATAGCAAATGGCTATTTTGCCTACCATACTGCGGCAAAATAGCTAAGGGCTATTTTAACGCAGTGTGCGGCAAAATAGCAAATGGCTATTTTGCCTACCATACTGCGGCAAAATAGCTAAGGGCTATTTTAACGCAGTGTGCGGCAAAATAGCAAAAGGCTATTTTGACGCACTGTAGAAAAGTGCGGCAAAATAGCCTTAGCCAACAAAAAATGATAATATGGCCAGATTCGAACGCAACAGACCGCAATGATAGCGTGCCAGTTTCATAAACGACCTACACAGAATTAACTGTACTAAGATCTTTACGTAGACCTGATTAGTGCACAAAAAGCAATATCCATGGTAGCAGCAATGCGCGGGCCTCATTGCCTACAGGGATACCTATAACGGCTTTCTTATTCATTTAAAGAAATGTTTTGTCCGGCATTGTTGCTGCTTTCGCGGAGTTGTGGTGGTCTGCAGATAGTCGACATTTATAGGTACAATGAGAACTATCGTACTGTAATTTCGGTATAATAGCGAATTTTAGATTTCACAAAACAAGTTCCGTCCAGTTCGACGTGCGGGTAGAAGTTGGCGTTACGGGTCGATTTACGTCCGTTCGCGACGTAAGGCGCCGTAACCTAACGTCGTTGGCTGACGCGTAAAAACTATCTGCCTTGCGTGGATCTGTGCAACGGCTCAGCCATACGGCTGAGCGACAAGCCAGCGCATGCTGCCTGTGGATCTTTTTTATGTGCTCTAACCGCCTCCCCGAGAGCAGGTTGGTCACGCTCTCGGCACTCTCGACTCAATTTATTTTTCAGCTGTACGTCACTGCAAGTGAGCATCCGTACAAGCATTTTAAACGCTGTTCAATCTGGTAACGTACTGTTTATGTGACGCAGTAGTTTCTAGTGGACGGAGCCTGAACCATGTGAAATCTAAAATTCCCTAATAAAACGAACAGTTGCAGCTCGTAATCAGAATGAGAACGGTCGGTTTTAATTGCTGAGTCAAAAATATTGTGGACCTTCCCCAAAATCTTGGTAGTCTTTATATTCCAGTCGATTTATTCCGTGCAATCAGAACTGACAATCCTTAATTAAAAGCAGTTCAGACTTTGACACAATATCTCGCGTCTCCGTGACAGAAACCGTTTTAATAGCTCTCTACCGAGGGATAAAAGGAATCCGAGCCAGGCGAGCCAACGAGGAATACGGTGATCGTAGAGTACAGCGGACGGTGGCGAACCGTACTTGACACGGCAGTTCACCGTACGGCGTATCACACGGCAGCCGCTCTGCGTAACATTCCTCCAGTCTACTGGGCAGATCGCAGATCACTCTCGCGCCGCTGCGGTAACAGTCCTCCAGTTCACCGCATTCGCAGTCGCTACTTTCCTCATCTTCCTCGTTCTCTACCACCTCTTCCTCATCCACATCGTCTTCCACCGGTGCTGGGGTCGTCCGTCGACGAAGGGTTGTGCGTCGCTTGGTCCGGGGTGCGGCCGTACTTCCGGTAGGTGTTTCGCCATCCGCTACGCCGCTGGATCCACTCCGTAAAGTAGCTGACCTTGGTGAAAGCGTCCGCTGTCCCCCGACGACACCTACACAACGAACCCAGTCAACCCCGTTGCCAACAAACGGCTTACAATTAAGCACAGTAATCCAATTTCCACCACATATTGTTGCTTGCGTGCATTGTTACCCAGTGATTCTGTGTTCATCAGAACGTATACTGTGTGACCAAAAATGTGTAAACTTAATCTTAACCTTTAATAAGTATCATGGTACGAGTACAAACTATGCACCAGAGCAAAACGGCATTTACAAAAGAAACACTTCCTCTATGCTATCCTGATCGGGGATCGTACCCATTACACAAATCGCGTTTCCCCGTTGTATTTGCATAGATATTCGCTGTTTAAAAAACTATTTCGCCCGCTTTTGGTCAGTTGAAGTCGCTATACCGTTTCCAACCGTTTACCGTTTCCAATAATTTTTTAGTACCATCTCCATAAGGTCCGTAAATTTCGAAGGCTGCAGCAACGAAATCGTATCTTGTTTGCATCCAAGCCGGGACCAAGCGTGTTTCGCTAGTTTCTTCCTTTCAGCCAGTTCGGCTGCTGCGCCGGCGTTCACGGAAGTGCGGTCGATATACGAGACCGCCAGCGTGTCCACGCAGGTAACGTCTATGGCCAGCGGTTTTCCCGCGCGCCCACGGTATTAGTGTGATCACGTCCGGCCTTTTCTTATCCTTCACAGACAGACCTTTTGGTTCCATTCTAGAAGGGAAACCGGCTGACTTCAAGCCTCGAGCAAATTCCGCGCTGATTCCGTCATGTCGTGGTAGTCTTCCGGCAGACCGCTTACAGCGAAGTCCATGCCGGCCTAACTCGTCGACCAACCCACCACAAACGCACACGTGTGGAGTAACGATCGGCGCTCCCTGACGTAGCGCAACGCTAATGCGAAAAGCGTTGTCATCCAATAGGTTACCGAGACATGCTCCCGGTAATGCATGGATCCACACGCCTGATTCCGAAACTGATACCGCCTTCAAATGTGCCACTTCCTCCTGCGATGTTCGTAGTGCGGTCAGTCGTGAAAATATATGCAGAGTAGTAGGAGTACCCCATGCTTTCTGAACGTGTCGGAAAGCTTCCGCAGGAAGTTCCTCGGTGTCGGCGTCTAACTTTTAGGCGCGAGTGGCGGTGGTGACATGAAATGTGAAAATCTGTCAGTCGGTCCGCGGTTCAGAAATTTAAATTTATTATTCAAAGCAACATAGTCATTGCGCACAGGCGCATCAGGGACTTACTTACATCGATTTTTACCGTGCATTTACATACAAAGAATGCAAAACCGCGCCCGTTTGCACATCTTTCGTGCATGTCCGTAAAGGCTAAACCCGACCGCGTGCGCAAAACAGCCAAGACGCACACACTTTAATAGATGCTGCGCTGACATTTTATGTTCCAGCACAGCATTTCTATACAAAGAATATTGCTACAAATTCATAACCCGCGATCACAAAGAGCGCCAAAAAATGCTTATTATAGAATACTTTAATTTTTAACTACATAGAGTTAGAATTACGCGGCTAACATAATACATAATTGTATTGCTGGGTAGCCAGATCGAAGCGGGAACCCTCTGTGCAACAGTATAGTCTAATAAGTACATTTATAGCCATACAACACAGGCCAAAATTAAAAACTGACTAAAATACATCAAGCCAATTAAAACCTTATCCCATCAATTTCAAATAAAAACATTTATCCGGCTTACTGTGCAAGGCTATTCAGTAAGAATAGTGGCAGTCGGGTGTATAACGCGGGGCCGCCACGCGTATCCTCGACAGCGAACAGCGGTGAACCCGGATGAGGCTTTATTGCCGAATCTAATGCGCACCGTGGCGCAGCAACACCAGACTAATGAGGAAGGATCCTGCAGCCAGTGCAACTGTGCTGCAGATCCGTCAAAACAGCGCAGCAATGTGCGGGGTGGAAATCCCCAGAAACAGCGAATAGCTACTCAGGAGGGCGGGGCGTCCCGCCCTTACAGGTGTTAAAGCAGAACAATCGCTGAACTATAGAAGGCAGCCAACATTAGCTACAGCTGGATAGCCAGCAGGCAGGGTTTCCTGCGATACGGCGCCAACAATCGATGTCGAGATTATCACAAATCATCAAAGAAGGCCAAACAGGTATTAAGCACGTTTTGGCCTTCCTAGCGAATTGTAATACGCATCTCGACAATATTCAAAGCTGATGTTAAGAAAAAATCCAAAACGTAAGAACTCGTCGGGCTAAACTGTAAAAACGTTTTGTACTGTAAAATAAACGATTTTTCTCTGGAATCCCAGAAATGCAGGCTTCCCTGCTATGGACATAAAGGTATCAGCATTTACCACTTTAAATCCCCATTTTAATAATTAAACTGAAAATAAAAGTAATAAAAAAGCATAGAAGAACTTGGAAAATAAAAAAACAGAAGAACGCGTTGTTTTACTGTGTTTCTTGCTGTTAACTGCACCGGCAGCAAAAAGTATGGAGAAAATCCACGTGATTTCGGACTTTGCTATTGGCGGTAGGCAGTCTCGATCTAACTCAAAATGTTGACCAGCCAATCAAAATCGCAGAAACACGAAGTTTGTAAGTAACTGGGCGTCGCTTAGACCCGTTACAAGGTACGCCTATCTGTGTAACGGTTTTCGTCAACGCCCCGCGACAGACTTCGAGCGAAAATGGACTTACATCGAAGCCCAGCCAATCAGGCCTCTTTCGAGCTTCGATGTAAGTATGTAAAGGGTAAAATTCGATGTACGTAAGTATGTCGCGATTCGTGTTGGCTCAATTGGTATAATAAACAGTGTTCAAGAGGAACACAGTCAGAGAGCGCTTCACATTGCCATGCAGCATCGGATTCGAACAGAGAAGCGCTGTTTCTTCATTAATTCGATTTTTCTCATATTTCGGTCGCTAAACGTTACTTAAATGGGTCACCCACGTCGCTTAATTCCCAAGCGCAACAACGTTTTCAAAAAGATCGTTTTTATTAAGAAAAAACTTTGCTTATGAATTTCAGCTCATAAACTCCACAGATTATAACTAAGGTTTTTCGGTTTAGCAGGACCTTCTTGACGCCTTTTCACTCGCAAACCGTTTTTATCTAATGCACACTGTGTAACTTTACCCTGTGACTCCGTAGCTGGTTATTCCGACCAAGTAATCCCCGTCACTTCTTCGGTTCACCAAGGGTCCACCGCTGTCGCCCTACGCAACCGAAAGGCGTTAGTAAAATTCGGAATTCGGCAAACTGCTAAAAACTACGGCACCATATGTATTCATATATGATATGCAGGGGCTTGATATGCTGTGCAACTCGGCCGGCTACAGCGTACATTACAAGTGCCTGATTCGGCGTTCTCCGTGCAGATCTGACTTGGTGGGATCTTGCCGGCATTCAGCGCCCGCTGGCACACCCTGCGATCCACCACTTTCAACATAGTCTGCAGCAACTGGTCCGACGCTAACCCGTACGGTCCTTCGCGCGTCTGCCCCCAGCCGGCGGTGTGCAGGACCGTTTCGACGTCCGGTTCCCGATTGGCCGGCGGAAGTTTCACGCTGGAGACGTTGTCCTTGCCGGCGGCGCCGCCACTCAAGCGCAGGATAGCGATGTCGTTGCGAATGCGTTGCCGGTGGTAATCGGGTTGCACCACGGCCTGCCGCACGGCGATGATGTTGGAGCGTGGCACGTTGGTGCGGCGGCGGATGCCCACGGCGACCGTAAGGTCCCGTGCTGGTACGCGATCGCCACTGTAAAAAATGCAAGCACGATTTTGCTAGGTTTTTCTTGTCCATCTTGATAAATATATACGAAAATTACTTAATGTGATTCATGCATTCAGACAAGTTTCGCTCGTACTATCGCTCGTGGACGCAGTGCGCGGCTGTGATGACCGACCGGAGATCCGGCAGCAGCGAACCCCCGCACACGTGATTGCTGTTGTGGCGTATACTGACGATAAAGTTGAAACCGTCCTCAGCATCGACGCCATCTGAAAACATTCATCCAAAATCGATAGCAATTCGCTTTAGATGTTGTAAACTCGATCCAGGGGTCAAATACCACCAAGAAATTTTAATGCCTGACTGCTGGGTAAGGCATCAAAAGCCCGTTTTAGAAATCCGAGAACTCTGTAAAATCCTCACTCGCGCCATTCACGATAATATGGCGCGCTACCCCAATGGGATCAGGTAACCGCGGTACAAGTTGTCGCTTACTTATTATCCGCGCAGAAACCTGACCCAGAGAATCCGACTGACTGTTGGCGACCGTGTCCTCGGGATCCTCGGCAAAGGCATCCACACTACGGCTGTCGGCTGCCGCGTCGCTGTTGCCCGGATAGTCGACTGGAATAATCTTCTCTGTAAAGCTCAGCTGGTTCACTTGATGCAGACGCAGTTATAGTCTATATTTATATTATAGTCCACACTAATACTTGCAGTTATTAGCTCGTTTACTAATCTAGGACTACAAGTCTACAACCTACCGGCTGTTAACGGCAGTAAACAGCCGCACAGCAAGATCGTTGGTATAAAACGCATTCTGGATTCTTCGCCCAGATCTAACAGAAGTTTATACGGCGTCTAAGCCGTCCGCCCGCTGTCTCGGCTTGGCGCGGTTCTTCGCCCAGATCTAACAGAAGTTTATACGGCGTCTAATAGGAACTAGGCAGATCAAGGCAGTACCTACTTCATCGAACAATCAGCCTGCGCTGGTATAAACCAATAAAAATTATTCAACAGATACACAGCGAGCACAACCGGCCGGTCCTCCTTCGGCTCAGACGAGCTGCTTTAACGTGCATTTCCGTACTGCAACGGCCTTCTGCGTAGCGGCCGATGGACAAGCATCGCTGTTTAGTGTGGACTTTTGCTAGTCCGGATACGTAAATCATCGATGCCGGTATAATGACGTCTGTAGCGACCGGATACGCCTGAACTGCGACCCGGAAGGGTAGCACGCTGTTCCTGCACGTGATCTTGCAGCGGACGGCTTGGCCGCTGATACCATCACCGTTCAGCTTCCGTCAGTGCCGGAAAACTGCGGGTATTTGTCGTCAGGGTTCGACAACCACGATGATATCTGATTTGTAGAAGAAAGAGCGGATATGCGAGTGTAGTCTTTAGCCTACTAACGTCAGCCGTCACTACGAACCGTGTACTCGTCGAAGCCCGGTGAATAGTCTTGCGTAAATTTACCGGTAGCTCATAATGGACTTGGATACTGGGCCGCTGCACTACGATTATTCCAACGGTAATTTCCGCTCTGCCGTTAAATCTTCCCTTACTGCACCCACCAATTTTTGTTCAGTCACCATTTACCAGACGATGTCCACTGTTCTTGATCATTTCGGCAGCATATCGGCCATAACTGTATTCAATATTATGGTGCAAAATTCAATGCAAATACATGTGCATCAGATTTTGGTTGCTTTTTAAACTTTTCAAATTGTTTTTATTATCTTAATATGTAACGTGACCACGCCTGCGTTTTTCTGTTCCCGTTAAAGAAATTTGTGTTTTGCTTTACTGACCTTAATGTTTCTTTTATTAAGCGCTGAGAAATATCATTCTGCAGTTCGTTTTCGATGCAAATCTGTTGGAGTGGTGTGTACATTTCATTGACGGTCAAGTACAGCACGAGCTTAACTCCAGTATCCTGCTACTTCGTGTAATTAAATCATCGTCCACGGGACAGCAGTGCACTTGATACTTGTTGTTGGGAATTTGTCAGTTTGTCAGCTGCGTCTCACCCAAGCAATCTTCGCTTTTACATATTATTAGTGTTGCATTGGTCGTATAGTACACATAAAGTAAAAGGCGTGCATAAGAAAAAGAGAACAGCAAAGAAAAAAACAGCTTTTTGTCGGCTAAAAGTCGATCATATATGTCTGCTTTTTCGCCGCGGTTTGTCCACAATCACCCAGACATTTGCCCTGTGCAAAAGGTTTCTGTGGAGTATCGGCGGCCTCCACGGCGCCGTTGATCCAATCCGCAAAGTGTCGTACCTCTGTCAACACCACGGGACCGGGAACCGGACATCTGCAGAAGATTGTTTATCAGCGTCTCTCAGATAAGAATTACCATGGCCATTTTACCCTCGAATTGCGTGGCTTACTAAGCCGACAATCTTGGGTTTGGGCTGGCTTACGTCAACCAGTGGGCCGCCGACATCATTCTAGACCAAATTCGCAGCGTTAGGATTAGTGGCAGTATTAACCCAGATGTTGTTTGCGCACTATAACTGCTGTACTTCTGCTGTACACTGGTTTTAAAATTTAAACCTGAATGTATGTACAGTACGTGAATGCACAGAGCCGAAGGACTCTTATTCTCTGTAAGGCTCTGTATAAGCTAAACCCCTTGTTTTCAGTTCCTAGGCAAAAATTTCCGAATGAACTGTAATAGGTATAATACTGCTTATAAGAACAGCAAATATAAATATTCCAAAATTGAGAGAATGAAAATACTAATCATTAATTTAGGCATTTACACATGTTATAGGTTATACCGTAAATACAGACAATAATAAATGATATTAATTGTTATATTAAGAATACCTAAGAAAGCGCTAAACTAAGAAGCCTAAGAAACTCACTTTGCAGACGGTGAGGTTGTGGCTGACAGCGCACAGCTTCCCGATACCGCGCCCGAAGCCCTCGGCGCTGCTGCACTCCTCCGGTTTGGCCAGACGCAACTGCGTCTTGTACAGCTGGTACGGCACACTGGGCATCGGGTAGTCCTGGGGCCCGGTGATGCCCCACCCCACAGCGGTCAGCGCCTGCCCAACTACTGCCTGACCGCCCCATCCGAGCGACCGCGTGGATCCTGGGAGTGTCCCGGTGGTGGAGTTGGCCAGTTTGAGAATAGCGATGTTATTGTCGTACTCGTTGAAATCAGCGTGATAGATGACGCGCTGGATGCCCACCGTGTTGGCCGGTGAGACCTCCGGCTGGTAAATGATACCGGTCGTCGCGGTTAGCTGGTTGTTCCATTGAGTCGCGAATCTAGCAACCGAGAATTCACGTTTCAAACAGTGTTTAACGGTTAAAAAGGTAATAACAGACGGACGGACTTTGCGAAGCAGCGGGCGGCGGTCAGGACATGCGTGGGCGTCAGGAGGACCCCGCCGCAAAAATGCCCGTAATCCCCGCGGAGACTGACCATGAACGGGAACTCCCCGGGTTTCACCGCGTAATCTTCGGGTTCTATTGGAAAGCAATCTGTCTTAGTTGAACTGTTTTAAAGCACTTTTAGCCGCATTGTAGTGACCTTTAGGTATGGGCGCGCCGGTGGCACTGGGTTGCGTAGGTGACGGTGGTGCGCTGACCGGTGCCGGTGGCGCGGTAGCGGGTGGTCCGGTGGCCTGGTTGGGGATAACGCCGTATGTGTTATGCGGCTGCCAGCTGTAATCCGCGTAATCGTTCGCACCGACTACAACAAGGAATTCCCTTAGTAAACCGTTCGTTACGGCGAATTCGTGGGGAAGTGTAGATTACCCAGACACAACAGTCCTAACAGGGAAACTATCCTAAACGTTCGCGCCATGGTTTGCTAACGTACATGCACTGAAATGGCAAATGTAACTGTTGAATAGGAGAAAGCAATCGTTTAAGGCGACACCGCAACTGCCGGCTTTATCCAGACGCTTTATGTACAGATTTTACGTCTTCATACTAGATACGAATCAAGCGGCTTAAACTGATTCCCATCAACCACACTGCTTGCCACTCAGTCACATTATCAAACGACGTAGCTGTGTGCAATGCCAGGATATGACGCACCTCGGTGCGATCGCGCGAGCCATCGGTGTGATGGACTTCCTGGTCAGCGCATCCACAGTCCAAGCGGAAGTATGGGAGCAGCCGGACATTGACGCCGATAGTGCTTAAGACGGAAGCGACGTTCGTTTTGGCTGTTACAGAATCGTTACTAGGTGACAAACGTTAACGTTTATAGCGATAATATATAAATCCATGATATGACTTCAGATTAGGATAGTTGTTGGTGGGGGCTTTTGCCTTGAAGAAAACACAAATGTGGAACTCCGCACTGTGTATATTGTGGTGTTACGCGGTCGTCGGTTGTTTCGGTAAGTACATCCCGTTGCAAAGCACCTGTCTGCCGAGCTCATGGACTTTCAGTAGATTACCGGAAGTGGCTCAATCTGTGCTCAGTTCGGTTTTACTGTACCTGTCCGTTTGCAGACCGAAATTCGCTACGAACGCAACAGCATACGGGCTACAATACAAGCTTTGCAGCAATCTAGTTAAGAACACACGCTAGCACCGGTTGCGGCGTCTTGCTGCACATTGCGGCTTATCAGCCGTGTTGCGGCATTGCCCAGTCAAGCAGCAACGCTCGCACTGGTTGTGGCAGACAATTTTGCCAGGGTTGCAACAAGAATCTGGATACGGATTGAGCTAGTCCCCGTCAGATCTTGTGTGGACCCTCTATCCCGCGCGAGAGAGTCCGTCACTGCGCTGAGTGCTTCCAGTACTGTACAGCATAGCGTTACTAATAATGGGAGTACCGCAGTAGTGTTGCAATGGAGTAAAATAAACTGCCATGGCGTTTGTCGATGCAGGCGGTCCACTGATTCCGGATGACTACGGCACGGAGAGCACTGGCAGCACCATGTCGGCGTACGACATGGAATTCGTGGATGTCGGCCCGGCCACCATGTCAGCGGGTAACACCGGCACCGGCAGCAGCCTGGTGCCCGTCGATTACCCCGATGGTGCGCCGAAAAGCAGTCTATTTTCCGCCGATTATACCGACACACCGTCCTCGTCGCCCGTCCCGCCGAGCACGTACCAGGGGAAAGCCGCGGATGATTATCCCGATTTGACGCAGAGTGCGGCGGTTCCTGGTGACTACGACACCCCTGTTATGACCCACGCGGGCGCGAAAGCGCCATTGATTCCGGTTGATTACGAGGAATTAGGCTTTGGTCAAGAAACAATGATTATAAGTATGCAGTAAGGAGAATGTAGTACGTCCTTGATTTTAGCGCGGGCCATCCAGAATTGCGGACTATAAGGTGTTATCGTCATAGCGCGCGAAGAAAAGGTAGTGCGGGGCCGACGCCCAAGTGGCACCACTATATACCGCAAAAAGCGGTTGTCTCACGTATTACCCAGAATTGTTCGTTGGCATGACTCTGCTTTATAGGACGGTTGGTTCCAGTTTTTGGCTCTTGTTGGGTGTTGCTCGCTTCCTTTTCATGCTGTAAAAAGCTGCATGATTACAGATGGTCAGACCGTACCAGACAATGAGTTCACCTTCATCGTCAGTCTCCGCAACGGTGGCCGGCATATCTGCGGCGGCTCCGTGCTGGATGTCCCCGATCGGAAATCCATCATTACCGCCGCCCACTGTGTTCACAGCAAGTACGAATCTCCGCCGAGCATTGCCGACAATTAGTTTTTAATGCAGTTTAATGCAGCGCGATTATGGCTATTCCGGTGTAACTTTTTAATGGAGAGCCATGCTTTTCAGTGGTGAGGCCACACCGGCATCGCAACTCAGTGTCGCCGTGGGCATTCGTCGTCTGTCGACCGTCAGCACGGCCAACGTCATCCAGGTCAGCCAGGTCATCGTCCATCCGCAGTGGAGCGAAAACGATATCCTCAACGACCTCGCCGTGTTGCGGCTGGAGCGCGCCGTCGCCGACACGGGCACCATCAAGGTCTCCAGCGTCAAACTACCACCACCCAACCGCGAACCGGATGCCGGACGGCCGTTGGAGGCCGCCGGCTGGGGCAAAACCACACAGGGCCTAAAGCATGGCACCGCCTCCGACATCCTGCTGAAAGCCACCCTGAAGGTGGTTGAGCGGAAGGTCTGCACCCAGAAACTGGGCCGGCCGGCCCACAATCCCATTCCGGACAGTCAGATCTGTACGGAGAACGAGCAGGCGGGCACGTGCAAGGTATTAGACTGCCGTTGCAGTTTGTTTCGGCATATTAATTCCAGAGCAATGCAATATAAGAAACCTAAGAAATCTAAGAAACCGATGGATGTGTTATTGTACAGGGTGACAGCGGCGGACCGCTTATCAACCGCCGACCGGATGGCGATTATTTGGTGGGACTGACCAGCTACGGCATGCCTGGGTAAGACGACAAATAGTGCCGTTATGGAAGCACCGAAATATAGCTACTACTTCGAAGCAAAACTGACGGAATCGAATATTGCGATGGGCATTCAGATCTAAGGAATCTAAGAAACCTAAGAAGCGATTATAGCAATGGTTGGTTGTTGCAGGTGCAATCTCGGCACAGCCGACGCTTTCACCAAGGTCAGCTACTTCTCCAACTGGATCGACAGCGTGGCCAAAGGAAACGGTCAAGCCCCGGCGCCGGCACCCGGTGGGAGTGGCGGCATTGCCCCGTCGCCCATTGGTGGCCCGGCTCCGTCGCCCATTGGTGGGCCAGCTGGTCCGGGCGTGGTCGTCCCGCCTTCCCCTGTCCCGGGACCCCCTGGCTGTAGCAGTTGTGGGGGAGGCTGGGGATTAATCGCCGTGGTGATTGTCCTGCCGAACGCGCCCACCGGCAGCTGCCAGCAGAGGGCGGGGATGGGGCTGATGTGTGGCGGCCGCGGCACACCCTCCGGCGGGACGCGCTGTCGTTTTATCGGGCACAGTATCCGCTGTAGCAGCCGCGGATTTATGGGAGTGTATTCCACTGGCGAGGAGGCGCAGTGTTTTAATTATGAAGGTCGACGGTACTGTCCCAAAAGCGCGCTGCCGGCATCGACGGCTGCACCGAAACCTGCCCCAAATACTGACTACGATCAGTACAGTTAAATGATAATAAATACACTCTGTATAAACTGACGCAAGGTTTTACAATTCCGTGTGGCCTGACTTTTCTAAATTTTTTCGGACTGTCTGCTTGGAAAAAAGCTGTTCTTAGTATTTTTTTATTAACTTTGATTAAAAGAAAGTTAGGGCTTCCTTGAAAAGTGTGACCGTTGGAATTGCAGAGTGAATCATCATAAAGTTATGTGGAATCATACCGATATGATAATTGAGGAAGCTGTAAAACACAGCGTCTTACCTTGAGTAAACAAACACTAAATCCTCGCAAAGTTTTCTTGGCCAGTGTACAAACCGGCAACATCCGATCATCTGTGACAATTTCGCTTAAATCTTCACTACACCGAACTGCGAACCGTTCCCAAGCATTACTTCGTTGAATCATCGGTAACAACATAAGTATTAAACTCCACGACATTAAAATCACAATACCGTAACGCTGTCATTAAAAAAAACGTCGGCTTCTTAAGGATGTGTGTACTCATCGTCAGTGCCGGCAGTGAATAAAACGTATATAAAACCCCGCTCGTTACTTAACAATTTACTCGTATCTCATTGGATTGGGTAGTCTTGTGTATTGGGTTTTATCCGTCGATGATATTATTTTTCAACTTCCAGCTGTGGAAATATGGACCGGATGATTTTAGTGGTGTTGTGCGCGCTGACCATCAGCAGTGCGCAGTCGGAAGGTGACCTTTGATCACATTCGTTTAGCGGCCTGCAACTGTACTTAATAGACATATTTTGTTTGCTGATTCTAGAGCGATCTGGATTGTACAATTCCTATCAATATCCGGACTACACATCGGCTGGTTTCAATCCCAATCCCTTCCTGTCCGGAACCGGGGGAATGTACCCGACGGATTCGCTGTATGGATCTACCATGTACGGCGGATACGGTGTCTGCCAGGTACTGCAATTTTCCTAAGCCTCTTCAAATGTAATTAGTTGTTTTCAACGATTTTTCCCAATTCTTTGTAATAAATCGAGAGTTTTTTCTTGATATTTCTGATACATACCATAATTAAAAATTGCCGATTCATACCATAAAAAAACTGCGGCCGCTCGAGTTCAGTTTTCACACGTCTTTTAAAAAACCGATACACCTATTATGATGACGGCGGGTATAATTTCGCATGCAAAAACAGTAAAAATTGAATAATGCCGTGTCGTAAATTAAACTACAAAATGCCGATGATCAAGTCTCGGTGTTAAACCTGGCTGTAAATGCCTGTAATGATTTTAACATCCTGCTGTAGTCAACCATAAAACATGCCATTTGGTTGTAAAGCGTTTGCATGTAAACCTGTCAAAGTTATTTACAACGATACATGTATTTTGACGAGATTTGTTTTATTGTAAAACAGGGCGTTAACTGCGGCACCGGGCGATACTGTGAGCCGCTGACTTACACGGTCTCCCCGGGCAAGAGCTACCGCTGCCGGCGTTACGGCGACGACAACAGCTTCGGCGTGATGGGCACCGGCGGGGGAATGTATCCCGGCGGCGGGATCTATCCCGGCATGGGCGGGGTCACGACCTGGGGCACCAGTGGCATCAACGGCATCTACGGACAGTCGATCATGGGCGGGGGGAGTGGCTTATATCCCGGGTATCAGCCCCAGCCAATCGTTGGTGGCGGAACGTTGACACCGATTGTCGGCGGCGGAATCGGCATGCCGGGCGGTGCAGCGGGAGGGATTTATGGAAATTATTACCGACCAGGTGAACCCAAAAAACAAAGCTAGAAAGTATATCGACAAAAAGTTCTTTATAACAGAACCAATTCTTTAAGAAACGGAACTCTTTAAGACTAAATTAAAACGTCAATAATAAAAAGTTTCGAAAAATATTTCTGTGTAATATAGCAACAGCAGTACTATTCTTATACGCCGATTTAAATAAATGAATGGTGCATACCGAATAAAATATAAAATAAACTCCTGAAATGAATGTCATAAGAAAATTTACAAAAATAACCGCATAATTAGCGAAATAAATTCTTGCACAAACAAACTGTAAGAGGAGAATCCTCTTTCCACACAGCAGCCGCCTACCGGTTGGCTCAAGCTCAAGCACAAATATCTTGATCTTCGCCAACAGCGGCGATGGCACAGTGGCTGTGCTACGTGGATCTCACTCGGTAGCCAGCGGTTCGATTCCGCTCCATCGCCATTTTTCGGAATTTCCTCAACAGACAGGATCTTCATCTGACCGCCCTCCCTCGCTGAGATCACCACGGACAGCCGACTTATGGCTGCCTCTGTTATAAAACAATGATACAAAATTGTTTTTTTATATGTTGATTCAATAGCTTTTCGAAGCTACAACTTTGTAAATTTTAGAGGTTTTGTTATACAGGGATTTATTGTTTTAGCCAGGTTCTGTTAGTTTAATTTTGAAAAAATCTAAAAATAATTTCGTAACTTGAATGGCAAAAAGAAAAACTAAAAATATAACCTAATAAATGGCGAAATAATTCTTGCATAACCGGAAAACGATACAAAATTGTTTTTTTTATGTAATAAGCTATTATTTTCCAAAAATTAATATTTTATGAATTTTAAAACTGCTTTAAAAGTTCGATTTGGTGTTTCTGCTCGGTTTTATTAATTTATTATATTTTTATTGTTTTTTATAGTGACAAAGTGCTTCGATGAGCTGGTGTACAAGGTGCCGGCCGGCTCGCTGAACACCGACGGCCGTACCCGGCTGGGGATGCCGGCGGGCGGGGCCTGTCCCAACCAGTGCTATCGCAGCACGGAATGCACCGCCGGCCAGATCTGCTGCAACAACGGCTGCGGCAACGTCTGCTACACCCCCGAGACCACCGTCATCGACGCGGCCAACGGCGTGGGCGTCGGCCAGCCGGGAATGGCCGGAGTGGGCGGGACCGGGGGCTTCACCGGGATCGGCGGGATGCCCATCATCTACCGGGGATTGCCGGCTGGGAATAATATGCGCATGGGGACGCTCCCAGTTAATGCTACCGTCTAACAACGATTGTTTACCATTGAGAAATTGTGATCGTCAATTGTTGACGCACAGCAGACTTATTATTATGTAATTAGTACTGAATTAATACTCACGAAAACCAGTGCAGTTGGAACATGCGGCCGTGGATCGGTTTTTAAAATAAATTCTATAACGGTATACCGTACTCTAATTAGTCTAATGTACAATACAGTAGAAGCGTACAGTGAATTAATAGTACTTTGTGTTCGTACATCACCATTATATGTCTGTAAGTACACTGCCTTTTTTCCGGTATTTTAAGCAAGAATTTTCAAAACAACAAATATTGTTTTGAAAATACTGGATGTGTGCGTGCGAATTTTGATAAACCCGTGTTAGTAACACGGGTTTATCAAAATTCGCACGCAACTTTCTCAAAATTCTCAGATAGTAACACGGTGTTACTATCTGAGATCTCCTCTCTCAAGGCGAACAATTCTGTATTTATGTATTTGTGCCTACATTACAATTTAAACCGACAGAGAATTGCGTCGGTTTTTCTAGACAAAATTCTGTGTCAGTTGGCAAACGGATGGCAGTGCGAACAGCGTTTTAACTGCTGTGTGTTATGGCTGCGAATTCGCACATTCTGCTAGTACAGTACAGTACGTAGCTACGTACATGAAAATACCTGCCCAGCTTATACTCGAAGATGAATGATAAAAAAAAATTCATGTATTTGTTGGTGAAAGGCCCTTAGGGCAGTCAATTGCGAAACTGTGCGATGGAACTGCTATGATTGCCAAGACACGTCACATAGACACGCACATGCATAAAATAATAAGCCGTCCACACTTCAAATAGTACGACAAATATTTTGTGTACGCCTCGAACTTCGAAGTCGTGATTTGAAAATCGTGATCAGTCTTAGGTAATAGTGGTTTCTAGACTGGGAACTGGGACAACGTTCCGCAGTTTTTAAAATCGAACTGCAGTGAGGTTGCTGCCGCAAAACCGTATTGGCTGTTTAGGTTAAAGCCCGTTGAGTGGAAAGTTTTCCTGATCTCAACAATGTCTGGTGTCATCATACAAACTGCTCCGACGTCACTGACCAATGGGCAGCTCCACAATCGGAAAGCAGTCCTAAGGTTTGGAGTTCTACAAGTATTATTTGGGATACTACTTGTTATACTGGACATTATAGGTAAATGAATCATGTAATTCTGAAAACTGTGATTGATTATATTCACGCTTTCTATCTGCCGATCTTGTATCTCCATCATTTGTTACCGTTTACAACGCCATGAATATCAGAGACGCTCGGTGAACGTTTTGGCTCTTAAACCGTCCAAAATGTCTCCGGTCCGCCAACACGTCGGCCGTAAATTTTTCCTACTCAGTATCCTTTGCTGTTTTAATTCTGAATGATAATGGTAAGCGTACATTAGTAGCTTTTCGCCTGAATGAATACTCGTACCCGAACGTTTCTGACGGCTCCCGGACGTTTTGGACGATTTTAGGAAAATGACCCGGTACATGGTGTCAAAATTGGGATACAAGCACTCAAACTTTCGCTTTCGCGCAATCCGAATCACTTTTTTATAATACTTTATGTCGTTCTAAAGCTAAAAGATTTATGTTCTGAAAATGAGAACCGTTTGCGCGCTTGCTACACGGGCGCAAAATCTTGTGGCCCAGATATGCCGAACTAAAATGGGCGAAAAGTTAAACGCATCTAATTTGTGTACCAAACAACTGGTTATTACCCGCTCTTGAAACTTTGCTGTAATAGACACTTGGCCATAATGACGAAATCGAACAAATTGTCAGATTCATTCAAAGCACTTTCTTCTGATTTTAAAATAAAAATCAAAAGTTTTAAAATTTATTTTAAAATTATGGGATAGCGCTATGAACCTGAAGGCTACCGATCACTTCGGCCGTTTTCATTTCGGCCGCGCTCACTTCGGCCGCCATTCATTTCGGCCGCCATTCATTTCGGCCGCCATTCATTTCGGCCGCAATTCACTTCGGCCAAAGTACATTTCGGCGGAAATAGGTGTGACCGGCAAAAATGTCCCCCCAGTCCCCCCGGACATTTTTGCCGTGTCCCCCCCTGCCACCATGGCCAAAATGGTAACCCTTTGGCCAGAATGGTGACCTGGGGGACCTACCACGAAAAGCTAATTTTCAGGTCAATCGGTGACCCTTGAAAAACTGCCACTAGCATTACCATAGCGTTACCGGTTAAAACTTTCGTTCCGGCAATAATGCCCCCTATAATGTCCCCTATATCGGACACTCGGTAATTCACTCCGGTAATATCGTCCCCTATGCCGAAAAGCTGTAAATCCGTTCCGACAATAATATCTTTTCGGTGACGAATGTCCCTCAGTTAGTTTTAACCGGTAACGCTATGGTAATGCTGGTAGCAGTTTTTCAAAGGTCACCGATTGACCTGAAAATTAGCTTTTCGTGGTAGGTCCCCCAGGGCACCATTCTGGCCAACGGGTTACCATTTTGACGATGATGGCATGGGGGACACGGCAAAAATGTCCGGGGGGACAGGAAGGACATTTTTGCCGGTCACAGTTGACCGTCATAAGATCGATCACACGGAGTCTACCGTCCCGGGTGAGTCAACCGCACGACACCCAGAAAAACAAAGAAGAAACCTAAGAAAAAAACCTAAGAAACCTAAGAAACCTAAACAACCTAAGAAACATAAAAAAACCTGAGAAACCTAAGAAGCCATAATGAACCTAAGAAACCATAATAAACCTAAGAAAACCTAAGAAACCCAAAAAACCATAACAAACCTAAGGAACATCAGAAAATCAAAGAAACCTAAGAAACCCAAAAAGCCAGAATAAACCTAAGAAACCATAACAAACCTAAGAACCCTAAGAAAACATAAGAAAACAGAACGAGACCTAAGAAACCTAGGGAACTTAAGAGAGCCTAAGATGGCCGACACATCCAGTTGCCGAAATGAGTGTTGGCCGAAATGAGTGTTAGCCGAAGTGAGCCACGGCCGAAATGAACGTTGGCCGAAATGAACCTGTGCGGCCGAAGTGATCGGACGCGGAATCTGAAACTGATTCACTTTCGACTTTATGGCCATGCGCCTTTTAGAGCAAAGTTACAACAAAAAGATCGGGTAATAACCCCACTTTTGGTACACAACATTGCATTTAAAATTTTCGCACATTTTAGTACGCCCTATCTCGACAACCGGGTGTTGCGCGCGCAAACGGTGTCCAGAACAGTGTCCAGAACAGTGTCCAGAACAAATCATTGCCTTTAGGATGATATAAAAGATTATAGACAAAATAATTCGAAGTGTTAGTGTACGAGTATGTATCCCATTTGTGGCACCATGTACCGGGCCATTTCACTTAAGGGCGAAAGCGTCCGTCGGACGTCTCGGATGGCAGACGATTTGGACGGTTACAGTCGTGTATAATATGAAAATACTGGCAGTGACAGGCAGTGTTTACGATTTATTCACGCAGCATTCACCTGGTACTCTCCCGCGGATAATCGAACTCGTGCCAGCACCGCATACGGTTCCGGCTGCTGGGGTGGTGGTTATTTCGTTATTACCGGTATATTTGGTGTGCTGGCTGGACGCATTATACCACCCCAACAAGGACCACGGGTTCGTCGTGGCTTTCTGATCACATCATTGGTACTCAGCATTCCCGGTTTTATCCTTGCTCTGACAATGAGCGTATTAATTGATAACGATTTGGTGCTTACTCAGTGGATTCTGCTGCACTGTTCGAGCTGCATTCTCATTCCCGGCGGCACTGAAGCATTTTCATTACTTGCGGCTCACACTGCCTTCTTCAGTATTATGATGGCGGTCAATCTTGGTCAGGTGGTGTCGACCAGCGTCAACATCCACAAACTGCCCAATACTGCTCGCAGTTTGAATTTTGACGTCAATTATGGACCCTATACAATACCCTCGGTTGCTGATCAGCAAACGTCGTCGACAACTGACCAGACAGACCACGCCCGGGCAAAAGTCACGCCATTGGTTCCCGCTGATTGGCTTCCACCTCCTTATGAATCGCTACCACTGCACAGCCACATTCAACATGCTGATGGCTCGAAGTAGCCATTCGAAGCTGGAACTCGGCGCATTAACACTACAGCTGCATATCACTTTATTGCGATTGTCGAGGGTTTTTTTTATTGAGTTATTCAAATTAACATTGGTAAACTCAAAATTACACTGTACGCAGTTCGCATCGTTTCAACACACAGTACACTTCATCCATTCTCTTACTGATACAAAACGTTTCCTGAACGCCACATCGCACTAAAGCAATACTGATTCTCTGCTTCAGGAATTGAGTGTTGTAGGCTAAATCTGAAATGCGAGACTAGTAAGTGATTAACAAGGAAGCAGTAATTGTTGCATACCAGTCGATGTCATCTTCACGTGTATATAAACTCTTTTAAAATCTGCATAATGAATTGTGCACGAGTAAACAATACGCAGTGCATACGTACAGCCGCTATGCGCTGGCCGAAAATACGACCTATAAACTGCACACACACAACAAAAAAAAATTTATTCGGCAATTTATATGCCACTTCGTAGAATAAGGGTGGGTCTCACATTCAAAGCGAATCTCGCTATGGTACGGTTGCTCAACCGCACGAGGTGGCTGTACGCAGGGGCCAGGCCTACAGATACGGTACGCGAAGCCACCTCGCGAGGTGGAGTTGCTGTATCGCAACTAGATTCGCTTCGAATGTGAGACCCACCCTAAAAAGACAGCGCTGGTACACACCAATAAAATGATAAACATTTGAACGCTAAAAAACAACCATGATCAATGTTGTACGAGAATTTGCTTCGCGCAACATAATACGAGTATTAACAAGTAACTAACATAATAACAATAATAATATGACTTTGCTGTTCAGTGATAGTTTTACATTTTAATTTGCTGTTGAAATTCTATACCTTATCAAAGTTATCGATTTGGTGCGGATCCATTACGGGAAATCTTGTGTATGTAAAATATAAACAACCGACGCAAAGAACGTACTTAACAACTACAGAGCTGTGTAATACGTACTCGGCAACCACTGTAGTCTGTACAGCACCCTGCAGTAAACAGTGCACTAAATAATATAAAAATATAAAGTTGCTTTTGAGAATTTTTTGGCAAAAAGCCAGCCCACAATCGCACTTGGTCGCAACAATAAGTACACTTAGTACAGTACTTCAAATTTCAAAGGCATGCGATTCCAACGTACAAACTTAACAACAACAAAACCGCGTATTCACGTGGAAAAACAGAACGCATAAAAAACCACAGAAAAGTAGTGCAAAAAGGAACCGAATTTGTATCAAATAAGTCAACTTTGGTTTACGCCAACTGTTGATACGTAGCCCGTCCGGAATCCGTGATCCGCATCCCCGGAAGCGACGCATCAGGCACAGAAGACGACGAAAGGTGAAAACTGTTTGTTGAAAGGGCGGCATGGGCATACCCATCTGCATGAAGCCCGGCATCAATTCCGCATGATTACCAGTGTCAAATGCACCATTCGAATTGGAAGGACCAGCTGGCGGAGAGAAATAAATCACCGGCATGTTGGCGTGTTGGGCAGTGGGCTCAATCCCTCCCGACCATGGAAGAGGCATGCGGACCGGCGGCGGAAGCGACTCAGGATGCGACAGACTAGCGGCGTGCATACGGTGGAATGGCCCCAATCGACTGCTACTTCCCACCTGCGAATTCGAAGCATACCGTTCGTTAACACCGGATCTGATGGCAGAGGTGTTTATTGATTTTCACCGGAAGAGGCGCAGCCTGGGTAACCGGATTGGGCGATTCCGGTGGCTGAATGTGATTTACATAGTTCCTGGCGGGAACATGCACTGTCAGGAATAGAGCCATAAACAATATGATTCTCCAATTTTGTGAGGACAAGTACTTAAGAGCGATTCGCCGCATTCGCCAGGCACTACAATCAATTCCTTCAAGTGCTGAGCTCTCAATCCGTCTGGCCCAGCAGCAGAGCCAGCGGGGAAAGATTTCATGACAGCATGTACTTCCTCTGTTAAGAATTCTTGAGGCCCTGAGGGTATCCAGCCGGGGGCGGTGAAGGAAAATTGAGGTCTGTAGGAGCGGGTGGATGTTTTTCTTTTAATGAATTTAGGACTTGATCCGACATAGCTGCAACAGATTTCAAATATTAATTATTGTAGTAAATGATTGTACTGTTCTGCCAAGCTTGTGTTATTCTGTAAAGCTACAGAAGTGCGCACACGAGACGAAATTAAGTTACAGTTTACAGCTTACGCCGAAATTAAGTTACAGTTTACAGCTTACGCACTCTGTCTGCCAGGGAAATCGATGTACAGAGTACGGTAGATCGCACCGCGCCTGGACTATGCACATCAACACATGCACAAGATCAAGCGGTGTTTTAGATCCTATCTCGACTGTTTTATGTGAGAAGAGCGGACGTGCTCGTAGAATAAGTTTTACCATAGTAAATACAGTACTTTGCTGGGGATATTGTTGGCTAATAGTTGTACAACCGAAGGTTAAAATCCGTTGGCTAAGTGTGATGATTGGATAATTCGACTCTTCCTTGTTACAACGATGCCGACCGAATGGACGATAATTCTGATCTCATCTCTGGCCGTCCCTTTGACCACAGCAGGCATATCATGGGGAACCACATTCTCCGCCGTGAACGGCATAATAAACGGCGGTTCACTCATGCAGAAAACCATAGCAGATCTGCAGACATTCGGTGACATGGACTGCTGGCGGAATGTTGTCATCGTAATCCAGAATCACTTTGCTCCTCCGTCGACGTGCGAAGTGTATCCGTGCATTGATTTGGCGCCTAATGTGACGGACCTTTCCTTGGCCATGACCCGAGCCATCCGTCAGCGTTCGCTGCATTACGAGGATTTCTACGCGTATTACGGCAGAAACCGTATCATTCCACAACCCACCATTCGACCCGGACAACAGGAAGCTTGTGGATTCTCCAAGTACTGGCACCGCGCGGAAGGCACGAGCGGGGTGCTGCGCTACCGGTTCGATGGGTACGGACGGGCAGTGTGCATCTATATTGCCTGGGGCGTCATCTGGCACTCGGGGTCTAACCGCTACGGAATTATGCTTACACAAGCAGACTCCGGGGGGAGCTGTGAGAGCGATCGGAGTCTGAAGGACACCTTCAAAGACTGCTTTTCGTATCGCGATGGATCGGGTGGTCCGCGTTCCTGTCACTGGTCGAAGCGCGTGCGACGCGCCGATGCCGGCGGGAGGATCGATGTTAGCGGGTACGGATTGCAAGTTTTGGCCACGATGGGGAATAATGAGCGGGAAGTTTTTAAAGTGGAAGTGTGGCCTAATTAGAGGTGATAAAGGTTTTGTGTTCATAAAAATGATAGCCAACGGGTGCACCGCTCCGACCCAGGCGCTACGACTTCGTATGCATTTTGCCACGTTGGCTCTGTCGCAGTGCAGTTTTGAGTCTTGTACCCTGTCCGCTCGCAATTTTCTGAACACAAACAAAAACTGTCGCGAGCGACTGAACGTAATTAATCTTATTGCATGACTGTACGATCATAGTTACTTAAGGTGAGTTTCCACTCAAATATGCCCATTTTATATTACACAGAAACCGATAGAGAAATCATTTCTCTCCCCGCCGATGTAATTTACGTCTATAGTAAAAAATTGTGTAAAATTACAGACGCTAAAAACAATCACAGGTCTGAAGTTTTTGCCACGGCTTTCATCACCGCGCAGAAGAGGAATATCTCTGTTCTGGTGACGGGAAGCCTGGTGAGCACAAGCAGTACAAACCCCTACGAAGCTATATAAGCGACTGCAATTATTTGCATAAGACATATTACTACATGCGCACAGTCTCGAATGATCAGCGTAGAACAATGGAATTTATTGCCCTGTTTTCGTGCTCATCACCATTGACCACTGGCGCATGGGTGTTAGATAAACATTCCGGCTCAGCCAAGACAATCCGTGACCCGATGAGGCCAGCCTGGCCAGGACTTACAACAGGATGCGCAGCACTCGCACCATGAACAAGACAGCTGGCCAGCACAGTCTAGCATTGTGCCCCGGTCGTACTTCGTGTTCGAAGCCTTTAAAACAGTTCTAATCAAAAAATGTGTTAACAGTATGATCGCAAGCTGTTCTAAGCACCTTTTTCTTAGAACAAAAAACTATGACCACTCTTCGAACAAAATCTTTAAAACTTGTTTTATAACCATATAAAACATGGTGCGGGAATTGCCGATGAAGGGCCGCTCCAGCATGATCTTGTACAGCGTCAGGACGTCGGCGTAGCGCTGGTTTTCGTACAGGAGATCCATGGCTACCGTGTAGGACGTCAGTTGGTCATACACCGGCCTCAATTCCTGAAGAGAAACAAATTCTTCAACCCCAGCAGGTTTTCAAGGTAACTACGGACAATTATCCGGAAAAAATTGGCAATGATTGTTAAAAAATGGATTCAAATAAAAAGTGATTAAATGGATTTAAAAAATTCTTATAATAAAAGCACAAGCATAAATACAACTACAAAATGATTTAAAAAAACCAAATAATAAAAAAATAAAAAGCGGTTTAATTGATTAAAATCCAAATGATCCAAATCAAATGATTCAAATCCCATTTTTATGTCTTAATATGCGGATATCATTTGAATACACGTAAAAAAGTACTGTCAAAAGTACAGAGGTCATATATTCTTGAACTTATTTGGATACGAGTTTAGTTGCTATCATTAAAAGCGCGGCCAACATTTGTAATAATAATTAACCAAAACTTGTAATACATAATTTGACCGTTCATAACCGGCACAAAATATAAGAGACAGTAATACTTGTTTCTTTCGGAAAAGCGGAAACTGCATCGCGTAATATTGGTAAAAACTGTTTTTAAAGTACGAAAGCCCAAATTCAAATTCTTCTACTTTTTGGAAGTTCGTGGTACTCTGATGAAGTCATGTTACTGTAGTCTAATTTTTACTTTCAAAACGGGTGAAGTCTTTATCAGAACAATTTTAGCGGTATGACCAGCACAGTACAGTACAGTTTCGCTTCCGCCACAAACAGGGCGGCAGACACACATTGCATCCAACCGCCCTCATGGGCGGCTGCCATGAACACCGCAAGTTGCAGCATTTTGCCTTTTTTAATTTCTATTTTCGTAGGTTTGGGAATTTTGTGAGCTTTTCGCTTTACAGTTTAATTTCCTACAGAACATTCTGGAATACATCGAGCCGCTGCATTTTTACCGCATAGTTTTCCTGTTCTGCTCCAGTCAACCGGACGATGAACGCGCGGTGGATCGGAGCGACTTGGCGATCACTGTCCCATGGTTGTTGCGGGAACTCAACCGCAAACAGCATCCTGACGACGGCGCCGCGGAATTTCTCCGGTGGGTTGCTCATCCAGTTGCGCCCTTATCGTGTTGCAGTGCGCATGCATAATCAGAAGTTTTCCTCTCTGCAGTGTCAGCGTGCCAGCTGCTCTTCAGCCAGAAAGCCATGGGTCTGACGGAGTACGTGGATGTGCGCGAGAAGACCACGGAGCAAATGGGCACCATGAAAGGTTCGTCGCTTCTTTAGCTTGTGGGTACGCACTCCCTAACTGGTCCGTGAAATGCGGATCAGAATGGAGTTAATTTCCCTCTCAGTCAAGGAGTAATTATTCAAATTCAGTAAATTTTGCAGGTAGTACTGTGGTGCATGAAAAAGTTAAAGTTTACTCGTGCAATTTGACGGAAAACGTTCGGTGAATTTGGGGAAAAAATCCTTAGATTTTGCACATTGTGTTGCTGAAAAAATAAAAAATTACTTACTAGTACAATTTACCGTAAAAAATTCGATGAATTGGGGAAAATAATAAGTCAACTTTCAATTTACTTTTTATTGAATTGACTATATTTTTATTGAGTTTTTGGTTTTGTCAAATTTTAATTACAAAAAATTCAGACAGTTTTGCTTGAAGAATTTGATTTGTTTTTGAATTTGATTCCGCAAAATTTAACTGAAAATTACTTACTGGTTTTCTTTCGAACTTTGCTGAAAATTCGAAATTTACGACCAGGAGTTACAGAATTCTGGCTGCTAATGTATCTTGAAATGCACTTAAGTAAATGTTGAGAAACTCCGAATTCCCACGTTTTGAACAGGGATTTTACTGAGTAACTGGGAGATTTTTAATTGTAAAAAATTCAGCCATGAGTAAATCTTGGTTCGCTAATATTGGAATTTGGCGGGTGTAGAGCGTTTCAAGCAGAAACTGGACGGATATCTGAGCGGCAACTCGGCACCACTCATCTTAACCGAGGATCTGAGGAAGATGTGCTATGTGGCGGAGGACGAGAAGGATTTGCAAACGCTAAAGAAAATGCTGAAAAAGTATGCTGTCCCCCTTTTTCGCGTGAGATTGTGATAATTTATTTCTATTTATTGGATTGTAATTAATTCTAAATTATTTTGTAATTCATTTTATTTGGTAATTTAATTTTTAATTTGGTTTGTAATTTAATTTGTGGGTAATTGAATTTATTTTTGAATTTGAATTTATTTTATCATTTATGTGTCACGGATTTTGTTGTGAAGATATTCGAAGCAGCACACGGATAAGCGCTTCGCCGCCTTCGCTTTCGGACCGGTTATCATGCGCCTCTACCACCATCTCAATAAACCCGATGAAGCCCTGGCCGCCATTCAAGATCCCGTAAGTTGTCCTAAAACGCAAATTAATGCAAGCGGAAAAAATTGGACTGGTAAATTAAACAACTAAGTTTATGTATTTTTTCTAAGAAAATTTGTTTTGCAGTTTGACTTGGCTGGTTTTTCATTTTTTAATTGGGTTTTTGTTGACTACGCTTTCTGGCTTGGTTAATTTTATTTATATTTTCATTTATATTTTATTTATTTTATTATCAATTTGAATTTTGTAAATCATTTTTGATTTAGTTTTTGTTAATAGTTTTATATTTTTTTTGGATTTTTCTAGTCAGTTAAATCTTTTTTACTTATTTAATTTATTATTTGGATTTTCATAAAATAAGTTTTCATTGTTTTAGTGTTTTTACTTATATTTTATTTGATTTTTTAAACCATTTAAATCACTTTTTATTTATTTTAATGTTTGTATTTTCTTAATCATTTCTTATTTGTTTTTACGAGTATTTATGCTTTTACTTATATTTTATAACGCGGGGCCGTATGGGCGCCACGCGTATCCTCGACAGCGAACAGCGGTGAACCCGGATGAGGCTTTATTGCCGAATCTAATGCGCACCGTGGCGCAGCAACACCAGACTAATGAGGAAGGATCCTGCAGCCAGTGCAACTGTGCTGCAGATCCGTCAAAACAGCGCAGCAATGTGCGGGGTGGAAATCCCCAGAAACAGCGAATAGCTACTCAGGAGGGCGGGGCGTCCCGCCCTTACAATTTTATTTTTTGAATTTTTTAACAATCATTTAATCACTTTTTGTTTAAAATCTTTTTTTAATGATCATTGCCAATTTTTCGGCCGTAATTTTCCGTAGTTGCGAGTTACCTTGAAAATCTGCTGGGGTAGAAGAATTTGTTTCTCTTCAGGAATTGAGGCCGGTGTATGACCAGCTGACGTCCTACACGGTAGCCATGGATCTCCTGTACGAAAACCAGCGCTACGCCGACGTCCTGACGCTGTACAAGATCATGCTGGAGCGGCCCTTCATCGGCAATTCCCGGACTATGTTCCGCATCAACCTGACGCTGGCCTGTGCCGCCGGCTATCAACTGGTACGATTTCGAAAAATAGTTAATACTTTGGCCTTTGATGAATCGCATTTTTTTATGTGATTTCAATTCAAAAACAATGACGTTCAGTTATCTGGTCGCATTAGTTTACATATTATTGTGTTCTTGGATTTTCTCATAAATGCTGATGATTTTATGATATAATTTGGTTTAGGATGAAATATTATTTTCTGATAACCTGGAATATTTGTTATTGATTTATTATTTTAATTCTTTTGGTTTCTTTTTAAAAAAATTGTTTAATAATTGATTGATTAATAATTCAATAAATTAATAAATCAAGCATGAGATAATTTATTTTGTATGATAAGGAATTTGGTTAAATAAATTTTATGATAAAAAATTATTTTCTGGTGTATTGGAATATCTGTTATTGTTTTATATTCGTAATTCTAATTCTATTGGTTTATTTTGAAAGAAATTGTTTAATTCAGTAAAGTAATAAATCGAGCATGTGGATAATTTATTTTGCTAGATAAAGAATTCGGTTAAGTAGTTTTTATAATACGAAATAGTGAATTAACAGTTACTACGCGTAACGATTTGGTCATCGAATGCGTGGTCTACACTTTACACTTTTCATACAATTTTCTAACGCTATCTTTAAAAATACGTAATAATACTAAGGAAAAATAAAACGTGAAAAAATTAGGCAAAACGTTATTGTTTGCAGGGTACACCGGCAGCTCACAAAACCGTCATGGACTTGGTCAAACGCGCCATCGACCGGCAAGCACTGCTTATGCGACGCGCGGTGGCGTTTGCGGCGGCGTTAGCTCTGAAAAATGTGAGCAGACTGGATAAAATTTCTTTTTAAATTTTAAAATTAAATTTGCATTTATCATTAATTCGCACAACCTAGTTTATTCAGTGTCATCATTTTTGGATTTTTTAAAAAAAGAGAATTATTACCGAAGTATATAACAGTCCTTGCGAGTGGTGCATAAGAATTCTAAGATGCTGTTTTGAAAATAACAAGGTGTTACTCGAAATTTAAATTGCAAAAAGATATTTTAATTGTTTTTTAATTGTAAAATATTTTGAGAAATTTTTTAATTTTATATTTTATATTTTTTTATTATCTTTGACGTTTTTTGTCTCCGGGTTTTGTGCAGAACGATGCGGCGGGTGCGTTGGAGGTGCTGAATTTTGATCCATCCCAGCACAACCACAAATCCTTGCGCAATTTATTAGTCCTGTCGCTGACCAAACTGGATCGGTTGGAAGACGTCCTCCCGATTTTCAGCGGGGTTACGGTGCGGGACAGTGCGTCCAAACCGACATGGTTCGGCCTTTTCAGTGATGTGGTACGTGGTTGCTGTTTGGACTATTTTAACATCAGTTTACTGTAGAAAATCTTGCCATTGTAATAAAATAAACATAAAAATTAGCAATGACATAGGAATATGTGGTATCTGTAGAGAAACAGCAAGAACTTCGGTAAATAAAAGGTGAAAAAATAACAGCATGGAAAATGATAGCCAGTAAGATTATTTATTACGTGGTAAACCAGCGCGTAAATAAAATAAAACTTTTGAGTCTTTGACAGATAAAAACCACCGGAATTGCTTCCGTCGTGAGAAAATAATTCTAATAATACGGAATAATAACTAAACAATAATTAATTAATAATATAATTAATAATCAATATAATTAATATGGATTAATTAATTAATAATAATTGTAATTAAAGGCTTATAATAATTTGAATACTAGAGCAGCCTTCAACTGGGATAAAAATCATAAAATGAAAATTGTGGGAAGTTAATAAATTCGTAATAATCATTTTCAATGTGAGAATATAATTATAACGTGGAAAAAATAAACTGAAAATTAAATGATACTAATTTAGCAGAACAACTTGTCAGTGGAAATACGAGAAAATTTACCAGCGAAGCATCCTAAGAATTAAAAGGTGAAAATTTGCTAAAACACATCTTTTCCAAAAATCACGAAGAAAATGAAAATAGTTCAGAGTTTTTCTTAAAAAAAAATTCTGAATTATTTTCATTTTCTTCGGGATGTTTTGGAAAAGATGTGGAAGGAAGTAAAATGAAACTGAAAAATCAAATTAAATAGTATTAAATGGTAATTAAATAAAATTAAATGGTATTAAATAGTATCCTAAGAATTAAAAGGTGAAAATTTGCTAAAACACATCTTTTCCAAAAATCACGAAGAAAATGAAAATAGTTCAGAGTTTTTCTTAAAAAAAAATTCTGAATTATTTTCATTTTCTTCGGGATGTTTTGGAAAAGATGTGGAAGGAAGTAAAATGAAACTGAAAAATCAAATTAAATAGTATTAAATGGTAATTAAATAAAATTAAATGGTATTAAATAGTAATTAAATCACATTAAATGGTATTAAATAGTAATTAAATCAAATTAAATAGTATTTATGAATGAATAATTTGCCTGGTCATGTGCTGATAGATTGCGGAAGTGAAGAAAGCCGTGGAAACCAAAGACAACCCGGAACTGCGGCGAAAATTCGACGCGGCGTTTAAAAATCTGGAAGAGAACGATGCCATTGATAGTCAGACGTTAGAGACGTACCTCGTCCTGCCTATTCAGTTCCAAAGTAGTGAAAATTCGGAACGGCAAGGACAGGACTTCGGCGATCGCCGGCTAAGCACGCCACGTTCCGATGCGGCGTTACGGCAGCCGCGCTACCGCAATGACGACCGCCCGCAGATGGCCGACAGACGTTCTGCCGACCGCCCTGCGGGAGGTGGGGACTGGGCTGCGCGCAAAGCTGCGGAGCGCGGCCAGCGGGAGCGATGGGGATGGAAAGGATAATTTTAGAAAATCTTTCTGAAGGGTTCTTCTTGTTGTTGTTGAATTTTTGGGTCGAGGGAAATTTTTTTTTGCGCAATTGGGTGTGGAGATCGGCGGAGGGTGTGGTGCGAAGCGGTTGTGAGCTGCTGTGAAATCCGTCAACAGAATGAAAAATATATGAACGCGTTAGAAATTCATGGTGGTGAAATGCCCAGTCTGTGGTTCCAATTCCAGCGTCGATGGAATCGCCACTGACTTGTGCAGGCTGTTTGCAGTTTATGGGTGAAATTCAAATAGTTTTGGCCAACTTTTGGGTCGTTTTTATAAAAATTTTGAAACTGGCATGAACTCAATTAAATGAAACAAAATCTGGAATTTATAAAAACAGATTCTTAATTTTTATTCTGAATATTTTTTTATAAAAAAATGGGTAAAATTAATAAATCTATTAATTATGATTATTGTTATTTATTGGAAAATAAGTTGTCAGAGGCACATGACTGCGCCTGGTGCATACGGCCCACCATGGACGTATTTGCACTCATGCTTGCCATATCGCCTCTCTCGCTGTACGTACGTGTGCTGCTGCACTGCACTCATATCCGCTGAAGCGGATATACGCGGCGCACACACTGAGCATACTTGCTCTCTCCTCCCTCTTTCGCGGTATGACTCAGCGTTCATACGCTCGCGTTGGATTGAGTCCAGTCTGCGCATCATCACACAGCTGATGGCACACAGCACGTGCTTGCCGCCAGTTGCTTCTTTCACGCCTTGACGAACGCTCAAGAGCCTTCTAGCATTCACTTGCTTGTTTAGCCATCAGTGCTTTGTTCTTGCATTCCCTGCTATTACGCAGTATTGTTCCTTTATTTGTACAATAAAGCACACTCGTGATCTCCTCGCGCTTGCCTGTTACATGGTAAGCAGGATCGTTTGGTTTTCTTTCAACGGACCCTTTGAGGAGACGGTGAAGGCTCAATTCACGGAGAAATTGTGAGGAACCTGAAAGTCACTGTTAGATCGATTGCTGAAGCAATCTCTACCTTGACTTTGATCAGAACGGTCGCATCGTCTTACAGCTGAGGAAAACGAGGATCACTGAAGTGATTCTTACCCAGCTGGTGAGCACAGTTCCTTGGTCTCTTCCACATTGAAGAGCGGAATCTCATCTCCCAACAGCACGGACTTTTCTTCTCCCAACTGACGGATCAGACTCGAACGAGAGTCTGCAGCGCGATAGGATTACTCCAATAATACGGGGACCTTCGCTTTGAACAGCGACCCGCAACTTTACTCGCGGATTTCAGTTCGGAAACGACGGATTTCCGACCTCGGACGGATGAAATCGAGTGGAACCGACACCGACACCGACACTGGTAAAGTCACGGTTGTAGGTCGATTTCAGCCGAAACTAGGTCGGCTTTTCATTTTCTAGCGGTAGAAAACTATTTCTAGCCGTAGATCTAAATTTTCTAACGGTTAAAAAGTAATTTTCGACGGAGAAACCGACTCGGAATTTTGCTTTTGGTCGAGAACCGACCTGCTAGGTCAACGAACCTGTCTAGACAGCTTAACAAAGGCTAACCGGCAACAGGTCGGAAATTCTCTTTATTTTGATTTCCAACGGTGTTTCGACCACCAGAAAATTTTCTTAATTAATAAAAATAACTGCTAACGGTTAAAAACTTAAAAATCCGAGCTAGATCGACCTTCTAGCCGAGCAAAAATAATTTGTTTTTCTAACGGGAAATAGCGCGAAAATTCTCGAACTTCCTTGTGACGTCATAACGACCGCTTATCAGTACTTAAGAGGCAGCCAATCAGCGTGCAGGGGAAAGTTCCCATAGCCTAATATAGGCGTGATTCATCGTTTTTTGCAAATTTTGCACGCGGCTCGCATTCTGTGACGTAGGCAGAAGTGCAAGACCACTTAACCTGTTACGTCACACTGGTCAGCACAGTAATATAGGACGTACTACACCGTACTACTATTACGTACTGTACTGTACCATAGTACTGTATACTAATACCCCGTGTACTGAGTCACCAACAGACACATCAACAACAACAACAACATCTCACTGGACGGTCCTGACACTCGGAAGTTCCTGAGCAAAAAGACATTTCTGATTTTGACGAACATCTTCACACAGAAGATTGTTCGACTTTCTCTTTCTAACTGATTAAACTTTAAAGGCTCCACCAGAGCCGACCTGACTCGACAACAATGTCGAATCCCCGAGAAGATCAGTACGCGAGAAAGTTCAACACGGACTATTCTCGGCGTGCGAACATGACCGGGAAGTACTCACTCCGGTACGCCGGTCAAGACAAAAGTCAACCGTCCTCAACCGACTCGACTAAGTCGGCCGAAGCAAGGGAGAAACGCAACGAGCGGATCCTCCTTGCCGACTCGAATCCGACTTCGGATGACAGTTTCGAGGACGCCCGGGATAAAACATTCCTGGAAGCCCCAGCTGACACAGCAGCCCCGTCCCACCCGACTAAGGGGGATGCGGAACAGCCGCAAGCTGAGACCACATTGTCTCATACCGACCTGGATTCGAGCTCACACAGAGCTCAAGGCTCGGTAGTCACAAAGACAACCGAGCTCGGACGGCATTCACCCAACAGGACGGAAGAGGTGCCGAAGCCGACTTCGCCTAACATGGACGCTCCGACTAACCAAGTCGGAAGGAAATCGCCGACCACACAGGCCGAGCGAAAATCTCCGACTAAGCAAGTCGGTGAACAACAACCTACGGTGGCCGACCAACAAATGGTCGACCAGCCGCAGGCAAAAGAAGTCGGTCAACAGCAGGCCGACCTGCCACAAACTCACGGGACCGAGCAACCGACTTCGACCGGAATGGATAAGCCGACAACGGAAGTCGGCACTGTCCAACCGACCACACAGGTCGGAAGGATTTCACCGACCTCGAAAGTCGGAGAAAAGGAAGTCGGCAACAAGCAACCGACTTCCCTGGAACGGCAACCAACCGACACAAAGTCGGATGCGGCCGTCCAGTCGACTAAAATACCAACCAGAACGGAAGATTCCGAGGTACCGCCACGAAGCGGCTTCCTCGCCCAGCTGGATCGCCGACCAGCATACCAGCACCCAATGAAAGGGTTATTTCACCGTTGAGCCGACCTTCGCCAACCGGAAGCGAGTCGACTCGAGTAACCGAAGCTCAACAAACGGCGAAGCCGACCAAGGCGACACAAAGTCGACCAGTCGACCTGAAGATCCGACCATCACCGTTAATGTTCGAACCTGGCGAACTTGGTAGTGAAAGAACCCCGACACCGAACGACGAAGTCTTTGACACAACAAAGGTGTCAAGACCGAACAGTGCGGACGGATTCTTCACAACACCGGTGAAGTCCAACCAGGACGACCTCACCTACCAGGCCAGTACACTCGAATATACGGCCGAGAAGTGGATAGCGGCAACACCGCCCGAAAGGATCGTAGACGTTGACCTACTCCGCTCGAGATGCCGTAGACTGATCACTCAGATCGCTTTGGCAGACAGAATTATCGACTCGGCGGGAAAATCGCTCCGAAACTCGGAAGATACCCATCGGCTCGAACGAAGCAAATGGGAACGCGAAATGGCCGACGCCAACAAAGGCATCGCCATCCAACAACGGGAAATTGACCGGCTGAATGCCATATTGAAGCGTACCGACCAACCGTGTCGGCACGACATCGACGAAGCCACTACACTTAAGGGCATGTTGGATCGATCTATGGATGCGGTCCACGAGTTAAACCGAGAACTCGCCGAAGCGAACAAAGCGCTCGAAGAAGCCCAAAAAGACCTGGCCGATGTGCAGACCGCATTGGTCGAGTCGGAGCAGGCAGCTGGAGCGTTCCACCAGCAACTCAACACGGCCAACGAAGAAGCCGAGGTCTATCGAAACGAAGTCGATAGATATGTGGTGGAACTAAAGAAGGCCGATGACGAGATCGACCGCCTAACCCACAGAGTAGAAGAGCTCGAGTCGGAAATTGAACTCGTCTTCACCAGAATGGGACGACGGTTCATCGACGCGAATGCTCGGGACATGGGCTTCCCTAACCAAAGGACAGCCGACGTCGACCTGGTGGAAGCAAACGCCCAGCTAGCTGACCAGGTCCATGGATTGAACCAAGTCCTTAAGGAGGAACAGAAACTCCGAGCTCAACTTGAGTATAACCTAAATGAGGCTCAAAAGGTAAACGAGGCGCAACACAGCCGCATCCTTTACCTGGAAGCCCGCGAAACCGAGCTGTACGAATTCGGCGAACAGGCAGCCCGCAACCTCACAGACATGATGCGGCAAATGGACGAAATGGACATCGAAACAAGATGTCTGAGGGAAGAAAAGAAACACCTGGAACAAAGCCAGGTCGAACTTCCCCCATACCAGGAACATAGTCGGGTTGAACCGCCCTCATACCGGACGTCCATGGCACAGGATCAACAGCCGTCACGAACAATCAGTGACATCCTGTGGGGAATCAACCCGACCCAGGAAATGGTGAAGAAGGAGAACAACACCTCCTACTTCGTCGGAGTCGTAACAACCGACCCGAGTGTGGGAACAATCCCACAACCACCAGCAGTACCGAGTGCTCCGGAACCGGAACACAACACGTCGACTGCAGCACCACGAGTGCCAACGACGAACGTGGCGACAACGACGTCGGCTGGTGCGTATACCAGCACCTCGTACGCGACGCGCACAACAATGTACGCGCCAGTACCTAACGCCAGGAGAGACTGGACAACGGACGCCGAACGTCTCCCAATCCAGCCACCAAAACCTGGCACGGAGGCATACCGGCCTCCACGGACGAATTCCAACCCAAACTTGCTCCGCCAGAACCCGCAGTTCGACCTTGAACGCGGGCGAGCTCGGTCATTCAACACGGCTGACCAGCAGCAGGACGCAAGAATCGGAGAGGACAGCTCCGACCAACAAGGCCGGAGACCTCCAAACCGACCTACACAAAGTCGGATGCCGGCTCAGGGAACACAGCCCGACCGGTACGGAAGAGTTTACGATCAACCGAGTGGATTCTACCCGCAGGCGCCGAGACAAAACCGAGCGCCCCCTCCACAACAGTATGGAGGACAGCCGCAACAGCCTCGTCACGCAGACCAGGCTCAGGCTCGACATCCGCAACAGGACGGATACGAAGGCCATGACGACGATGCCTACCAACAGGAGGCGTACGAAGACCAACAAGGTCACATGCCATACGTCAATCCACCACCTGCCCCGGCCGCACAACAAGCTGCGCCGGCGGCACACTCAAATCCCTTGGAG